TCTAACCATTACCCTATACAAAAAAAAAAAATGTTTGCTGGAGCTTTACTTTTCACAAATCCCAACTCTACATACCAGAAAAATAAGAAATGCTTGTTAAGGTCTAGGGTTAGAGGGAGACACTGCAATACTTCTCTTATTCCTCACTCTAGCAGACTTCCTCCACACTGTGTGATCGATTCTGTCTAAAGGTGCCCATACACTGCTCGGTTCTCGTAGGAGAAACGCGGGAAATCCCGCGATCGTACGAGAATCGAGCAGTGTGAACGAAGACGTGCGACCGTTTCTACTGTATGGTCGAACGTCTTTTGTCTAAGGAGCACGCTAGAAAACCAGCCGAGAATCTTACAATTTTCGGCTGGTTAGAACGGTGCTCGGGAGACAAATGCCGAACGGGCCGGTGTGCGCACGCGCAGACTGCCCGTTCAGCATTGCGGTCATCGGAAGCCCGCCCCTTAGGGGGGCGGGCTTGCGATGATCCAGAGTACGATCTGCCTGCCCAAGATGGGCAGATCGTACGTTTTTTTAATCACTGTACAACCATCGCAAGACTAAGGTCTTGCGATGGTTGTACAGTGTATGGCCACCTTAAGGCCCCGTTCCCACTCTGCGATATGCAAATCGCGCGTTTGTCGCGCGATATGCATATTGCGCGATATCGCGAGATTTGCAGCGAGATATAGCGTTCAAGCTTGCATTGAGCAAGCTTGAATCGCGGCTAAATCCGCTCCAAAAAGGGTCCTGCTGTAGCGACACACGACCCGCGACAGCAGGACCCTTTGCCCCATTGAAATGCATTGGAGCGCGATATCGCGCTGGAATTCGCCGCGATATTGCGGGAATTACCGCGCGGTAAATCGCTCAATGTGAACGGGGCTTAAGACTCTTCTCTAGGATTCTCTGGCTGGAGGTCCCATACTGATGTCCAGTAACCGAAAATCCTGCATTGTACGTGAGGATGGCGAGGGCCCGCCCACAACTCAGCACATCAAAGAGAAGAAGTGAGGAACTCAGGAAGTATTACAACTTTTTCCTGTTAAGTGACACTAAACTCAGAAGTTAAAGCTTAAAAATATATTCAAGCACCTTACCTCTTAACCCTTTAAAGGAAAAAAACTTTTTTTTCTTCATTTGTTGCACCCATGTTATAATCCAGATTTTAGGACTGGTTACCGGATCGTAGAATCGATAAATGCGATCCGGTGGCAGCTGAGCCACCAGAAATGCTTCTACTGTAAAGCCAGCCGCTGGCTCTACAAAATTGAACAGACTTCCTGTCGGCTAAAAGCCTCCGGGAGTCTAATTAACCCCTTCAGACTTCGCACTGGATTATCCCATCATGGGTCATGAAGGGGTTAACAAAATGATATCCTATTTGTGCATCACTCGGCTGTAGATCATCAAATCATCTCTGAATTGGTGCTGACACTGTCCTTCCTTCTGGAGGGTGGCTACTTTTGCCTCCCATGGTCTCTGTGTGTTGTAAAGTAGCCACCACTCCAAGCTCACTCCTGTGATGGACTACAATCTCAATACAAATTAGTAAATTAAACATGAGATTGTAGTCCATTATGGGAGTGAGCTTGGAGCAGTGACAACTTTACAACACACACACACACAGGGACCATGGGGGAACACAAGTAGCCACCCTCCAGAACCAGGGACAGTGTCAGCACCAATTCAGAGATGATTTACAGCCGAGTGATACACAAGATCCATTTTTATTAATAGTTCAGGTACCTGAATACATTTTTAAAGCTAAGCTTTTGTAATGCTGAAAAAACATGAAGGTTTTCCTGTCACTTTAAAGTGAATTTAAAGTCAAATGGTTTTTAAGCTATTTCAAAAGGCTGATTTAATCACTTACAATAGATGCTGCTCCTTGATGTTTAAACCTTTTAGTTTCCTACAGAATCAGTTGGTCCCCTGAGCACTGGTTCTGATATCCTGTTTCGGTGTGGCCCCTTTCCCTTGCAGGGTCCTATGGAAAACACCCTTGTGTGTGTCAATAAGCTGTGCGTGGCTTCACAGACACAAGACAATCACTGCCCTCCTCCCTGCTCCCCATGACTCCCTTCACCAAACTAGTAGATAGACAGCTACTGTAGACTGTTCTTGTCCAGTACAAGATCACTAGGGACAGCAGTTTAGGGAAGCTGAACAGAGAGAGAGAGTTGAAGCTGTCTGGAAACATGATGACTATAAATGCTTGGGCAAAGTTTTTAAGAAATGCTATGCCGGGAAATGTATATTTGTTTGCTCTGGATTCATTTATGAAAAAGGTTTGAGAATTTAATACTACTTGAGCAGTCAACCCCCCCAGTCCGGGAAGGGATTGTTCACTGGATAAAGGTAATTTTTGTTTTAAGGCCAGACTTCATTTCAGCTTGCAAAATGATTAATGACAGTGTTACATGGATACTGGGCCATAGCAGCCTTCTTGCTGTCAGCACGCTGCAGTTGATCATCACACAGAGGGGAATTTCCTAAGCCTGGAACAGAGTGAACATACAGCGGATGTGTGTGTCAACCAATCAGCTTGTAGCTTTTATTTTCAAAGCTTAACTGAACAAGGTGAAGAGAGAAGCTGATTGGTTACTATGCGCAGCTGCTGCAGATTCTGCCTGCTTCTGTCGTAGTAAATCTCCTTCTGTTCCATCCATACATCTTAGTTTTAGAACACAGCTAGACAGGACCCGGAGCTCCCCACCCCCGCTCCATTGTGTGTTTATGTCACTCGGCGTCACCTCGCCACTCACCTGCTGCTGGTTTACTAGTCAGCCTCTTCGGTCACCATACCAGAACCCATAATTACCACACTTATCCTGAGCTGTACATTAAACCCTTCTCCCAACCCCGCTCCCAGTCATTCCATCGGACTCGGGGTCCCCTCCACATCCTACCTGTCTCTCTTCTCGTTGCTCCCCTCACTTAGCCGCCATGTTCCGTACGCCTCACCCTCTCACGTCAAATCGCACGACCCGCCCATTGGTTGTTTGCGTACCCACGTGCGTGCAGCGTCACCAGCCGGGCTCGAGTCAGGGCACGTGAGGGGGAGGGCGCGGAGGCGGGGTCAGCTAGACTTCTGTGACGAGGGCCGGCGGTCGAACACCGGGCACGTCTCTGGATGACCGGGCGCGCGAGATTATGAATGTTCAATGCGTTCTACCGACAGAACAGCCAATCAAATGCTTCCATTTATTCACCTTTTGGCTCTGGGAAATGGCAGCTGGGATCTGATTGGTTGCTGTAGGTAACAGTGTAGTTGCTTTAACTGCTAGGAAAATGTATGAACGAGACTGGACGGATCCTTATCCACACAGCACTCATTCGCGCCATATAGATTGACCTGCGTTCGGCCCTATTCAGGTCCCATTAACACTGGATGCATGCGTCAATGAAAACCATGTAAAGGCTTCTTTAAATGCAGCCAGCAAGACACGGCATGGTGTACACCATAACAAAATGCGCAAACTGCTGCATGATTTTATTCTTGGCTGTTTGTAGGGCGGCTAATTGAGATGAGGCCTAATGCACACCAGGGCAGAAATGTTTCTGCGTGATTTTTGAAAGGGCGTTTTTCAGCATGCAGCTCGACATGCTGATATAAAATCATCTCACATTCTCTAGTTAAACAAACATATTTTTATTACTATGATTGATTTTCCACTTCCTGGTCCTCCGGGGCATTAGTGATGTAGCCCATGCCCAAGCATTGCATCCTGGGAAGGTCACATCAGCAGAGCAATGCTGGGAAATCTCATCTGTAATCTCAGGGAAAGGCATTTTCCTCCCCTGAGATGATGTGCGTGGTCACATGTGCCAGAGTTCCAGGAAGTAAAGGGATATATATCAATATGCCCTTAGTAAACATGGCCACTGTGAGAAGAAAAGGGAGGAAAAGAGAAATAAGGGATGCAAATAATAAAAAGCCGGCAGTTATCCAGAAGTATCTGTAGATTGTCATTACTAGGCATTTCTAAGGGCTCTTTAACCACCTCCCGTCCATGGCCGTTCCTGAAGGGTGCCTTATAGGAGCAGGAGGGCGTCTTAAGGCTCTTACATTCAAGCGATCAGGTGTCTTTAGAGACACCCGAGCGCTTGTAGTAGCTGCCGGTGTGCGACACCCCCCGTACCGCCGTCGTCGCCGCTGCTGCCAGTCCCGAGGTCCGCTGTGCCTGGTGCGGCTGGGACTGGCATGGCGACTCTATTACTGGAGATCAAAGGGAGATCAGTATTCAGTGTATGGGGCTGTATGGCTGCAGACCGGTCAGGGTGTCCGTGCTGACTCGTGTCCACCGCAAAAAGCACCTACAACAGGCACGTGAGCATCAACTGGACCACGGCGCAAAGGAAGCAGAATGTCTAGTCTGATGGATCATGTTTTCTTTTACATCATGTGGATGGCTGTGTGTGTGTGTGTGTCACGTACCTGGGGAAGAGATGGCACCAGGTACACTATGGGAAGAAGGCAAGCTAGCAGAGGCAGTGTGGAGTGTGATGCTTTGGGCAATGTTCTGCTGGCAAACCTTGGGTCCTGCCATTACGTTGACACTATCCACCTACCTAGACATTGTTGCTGGCCAAGTACACCCCTTCATGGAAATTCCCTCTTTCAGCAGGATAACGCGTCCTCTCACACTACAAAAATAGTTTAAGAATGGTTTGGCGAACACAACAGCGACATTAATGTGTTGACTTTGCCTCCAGATCGCAATCTAATCAAGTATCTGTGGGATGTGCTGATCCATGGAGGCCCACCTCGCAACTTCCAGGATTTAACCCCTTCATGACTGAAGCCTTTTTTTTTTTTCTTAACTGTTTGCACCCGTGTTATAATCCACATTTTAGGCCTGAAAATTACTTCAACCCCCCAAACATTATATATTTTCTGAAAGCCAAGACCCTGTAGAATAAAATGGTGGCACTTGCAAATTTTTATGTTGCACGATATTAGCGCAACTTATCAAACCCCAAAATTTAGTGAAAAATGCACTTAGGTTAAATTTAGTGCCCCAAAAATATAAAAGGCGAGGTTACAACGGGTAAATGGATACTCAAAATGCCCAGGTTAAAAATTGTATGCGTCTGCGAAATGGCGACAAAATCCAGTACCCCAAAAAAGTCCGTAGACGCTTTAAAAGCCCCTGCACATCATCAGTTTTCAGATATGCATAAATATTGGCCCTAGAATTATTGCTCTCACTCTGGCGTGCACGGCAATACCCATAAGTAGGTGCAACCGACCTGTGTTTACGTTATGGCGATTGCGGGGGACTTGAAAAAAATGTTAACATTATTTTTACATTTATGTGATACTATTTTTTAAAAAAACGTATTTTTTTTTTAAACTTTAATTGCTATCACATAGGGGGGCTCAAAATGCTGAAAAAGTCGATACTGGTTCAGAAAAAACGGTGTCTGGACGCACAGGGCAATGGATACTCAAAATGCCCAGGTTAAAAATTGTATGCGTCTGCGAAATGGCGACAAAATCCAGTACCCCCAAAAAAAAGTGGAGGTGATCGCCGATCTACCCAGCTTTCCCCCGACACCAGAGAAGCCGGTCCTGGGCCGTAGGAGGGGCAACGGAGCCTGGAAAACACGGTGGGGGGGCGCCCCATTTACTGGCCCGTAGAGGAATCTGGCAGCAGCTGAGCCACCATAATCGCTTCTAACGCGACAGACGGCTTTACAAGTTTAAACGGGCCCAGTGACGTACTATGGATGTCACTGGCCACTGAGGCTGGGTTCACACCTGGGCGTTTCTCCGCGATGATCGAAACGCTCAAGAAGTGAAATCCTATTAATACCTATGGGCGTATTTCAGCTCGTTTTGTCGCGCTGAAGAAAGGCCCTACACGTGAAAACGTACTTGCGCTTCTTTTTCGTGCGTAGGGGCAGATTTCAGCGCGTATCCATTGGTATTCTTGAGTGTGGCTCGGGGTTAATTTTCTGTACCAAAGCGCTAACCCCGAGCCACACTCGGGAATACAGCGTAGGTCTTACCTTGTGCGCGATCCCCGCTGTGTCTTCCGGCCGCTGCCGGCATCCGGTTTCCGTCCCTTGCGAGCATCTGCGTCGCAGGGGGGCGGAACCGACGGGAAGTTTAAAAGTTACAAGTCTTTATGTATGTATTAAATATACGTTTATACAAAACCATGTATGTTTGATGGACGTCTTGTATGGTTTGGACACTTTTAAAGCCCCGCTTTTCTTTTCTTGTATACAATACCTGGATGAATGAGAAACTTTACAGACATATTCTTAGAACGTTCATTTTTACCTCTATTCACACAAAATAAACTTTCACAGAGATTCGGCAGAAGAAATGGTTCTTTGAATTGTATCAAGAGATCCCTAAGACAACCAGCATGCCAGTGAACAATAGCACGCTGTAGTCCTATACTTGACACCTTCACACCTCAGGGCAGAATACCTAGAAATTTATGTAAATCAGAGGGCCTATGGGGGGGGCAGGGCTAATAGCAGCTCACATATTGCGGCATGCACCAAAAAAGTTTAACCCTTTCACTGTCTGCACCTGCCTCCCACGTTCCACCTAAGATGGACAGACCATTTTTGCTATTTTACACTTTTTTTTTTTTTTGCTATATTTTACAATTGTTTATTTGCATCTTGGAAAGTTAGTAAAATACACCCCAAACCATACATTTTCTGAAAGCACAGGGGCTGTAGAATTTAAAAATTGTGTTATTGTATGTCGCATGCCTTATGATTGTTGCACAAATATTTTTCAAAGTTCTGTATTCAATAAAAAATACACTAAAATCAATTTATAGGGCACTCAAATACACCATAACTTTCAAAATGCATACTAAATAAAAAAGATAAATATGTACTGAGTTAATAAATAAATGTTTGTAAACTTTAAATTGCGCCTTTTTGAAAAATAGTGAGGAGAAAGAGATACATTGGAGGACATTTACGGATCTGGTCACATCTCTTGCATCCAGTAAATAGTAACATTGTACGATTCAGATGGAAAGTGCGACTGATATACCATGCTAGTGCTGATTCTTTACAGAAATCTGTCACTCATAAAAACTGTTTTAATATCGTGTGTGAGGGGGTGGAGGTAGAGAGAGAAAAAGTTTACTGCTGCACAGATCCTATCAATTTGCAGTCCTGTTGCGACTGTACTAATAGTCTATCAGCTGGCACTTGCTCATTCTTCCGAAGTAGGCTGATGCTCAAAAGTAGTTACAGTATCAGGTTCAGTAACATGTCCTTCTCAGAGTAATACTATGTTGCCAATTTGTAAACACGTTGGAAACGCAGTATTACTTTGAGAATGACATATTACCCGATACTGTAACTACTTTTAAGCACCAACCTACTTCAAAAGAATTAGCAAGTGACAGCTGATATACTATTAGCAAATTTGTTTTAAATTGGACGATCTGGGAAAGGAGCAGTTTCAGAGCCGGGGACACACTAGGGAAAGAAGCAGTCTGAGAGCCGAGGACACAGCAGGGAAAGGAGCAGTCAGAGCCGGGGGGAACGCAGGGAAAGGAGCAGCCTGAGAGCCGGGGACACAGCTGGGAAAGGAGCAGTCTGAGAGTCGGGGACACAGCTGGGAAAGGAGTAGTGTGAAAGTGGGGACACAGCAGGTAAAGGAGCAGTCTCAGAGTCGGGGACACAGCTGGGAAAGGAGCAGTCTGAGAGCCGGGGGGACAGCTGGGATAGGAGCAGTCTCAGAGTCGGGGACACAGCTGGGAAAGGAGTAGTCTGAAAGTGGGGACACAGCAGGGAAAGGAGCACTCTGAAAGTGGGGACACAGCAGGGAAAGGAGCAGTCTGAAAGCGGGGACACAGTGGGGAAAGGAGCAGCCTGAAAGCAGGGACACAGTAGGGAAAGGAGCAGTCTGAGAGCAGGGACACAGCAGGGGAAGGAGCAGCCTGAGATCGGGGACACAGCAAGGAAATGAGCAGTCTGTGAGCCGGGGACAC